AGCTAAGTCCGTGTCAATCTGGCGCAGAATTACTGAGGGAAACCACTAGTGTCTCCCAACTTTCTGGTAATGAACTGAGAAGTAACAATGCTTGCAACTCATCATCAAGAGACATTTTCATAGAGGATAATTGGTTAATAATACTTTGCATTTCATTCAAATGTTCAACAATAGAAGCATCCTCTCTATATTTTAGGTTCACAAGTTTTCTGATCAAAAAAGCTTTGTTGCCAGCTGTTTTTCTTTCATAGAGACTTTCCAACTTTTTTCAAAGAGAATATGCAGAAATTTTAGTAGAAACATGGTGAAAGACACTATCATCAAGCCACTGTCAAATAAATCCAATTGTTTTTCGATCTAACCTCTTCCACTCATCATCTGTCATAGTTATGGGTTTTGCACTATCCCCCTGTAAAGGTCCATACAAATCTTTGCAATACAAGAGATCTTCCATTCTTGGTTTCCATATCATCCAATTATTTCTATTTAAACTAATCATACGAGAAACATTACTGGCCTCCATGTTCAAATACAAAATTTAAATCACTAAAATCCTTTTGTTCTGATACTAATTGATGGGGATATAAACAGGAATAACATTTGTATATGAATAAATACTAGCAGGCCATGATATGCAGCGGAATTAAATGGAACCACAATCAAATAGAACACCAAGATATACGTGGAAAACTCCTTCAATGTGAAGGGTAAAAATCATGAGGCAAACTAGAGATAATCCACTATGAGAATAACGAATATATAAATCTCAATCTCTTGCCCCTAAACCCTAACAACAATCATAAGAGAATAACTGGGATACAAGGATCACGTCACTGTCCACGATATCTAAAACCTCCCCAAGTAATCACAGCAAGAGTCTACTATAGATTTGATCTAACCTGAGATGAGAACACTGCTAGATGATTGAGAACAACCTCTATGCGTTGTCCTTATCTTCTTCCCTTTCTTTCTCTTCCTTTTCTGCCTTGTTTTCCTCCTTTTCTTTGGAATCCCATGACTGTTTTCTTCTCCCACGTTGCTGCCCTATTTATGCCTTTTTTATCTCCAAAACGCAGCCACCACACCCCCCTAATGTTAATTATGGTTAGATTAAGAGGGGATGAACTATGGGCTGTCCAAACCCACTATGGGCTGAATTTATAGACTGCCAGCCCAACATATGAGCCATGCATAGTGAAACAACACAATGATCTACCCATTGTTCTTGCACATATCTGCGCCACTTTGCTCAAACATCAATCATAAAACCATAATTCTTTCGCGATCTTGTCGCTACCGGAGTACAAAAGATTACTAATGAGATATCTGGTAGACCTCCATGATTAGAACCCTAACCAGAATATATAGCTTGTGGCTTTCCTTTTCATGAGATGAACACATTTGAGAGTTCCCGACCATCTGTCGACACTTTGAGAGACTCATCTCCAGCTGCAGATTGCACCATCAGAAGTAATCATCGATTTCGTTCCTTGTACAATACATCAAAGATAGAGAGTAAATATATGGTGACCTAAGATTACTTAACTGTAGTTGAGCACCATTGGAAGCTTCTTCCATGGTCATCATAATGTTCATTGCCTCATAAGCAAAGATATGTGGCAATAAGTGGAGGATATTTGAGATGAAGCATATATTTGTGTTTGATGGTGGCCAATTGGTTCTGTAATTTATGATTTGAATGTGACAGGAAAGGTCTTAAAAGGATCCCAATTATTTAGATAAAACCAGCTTTTACTCTAAAAATACTATCAAGGGATTTCATATATATATATATATATATATATATATATATATATAGTTGGTGAATTTCAAACAAGGAATATGCAAATGCAGATTAATAACAATGCTTATCATTAGCACAAGAAATTCTATGAAAATTACAAGGAATCATTTGCTTAAGAAATTCTAGTTTGGAAAGAATCAATATACTCAATCTTATTTTACTATGATTTGAGCCTTTTATCACTCAGCTTACAAAGGAACAATCTTATCCATATACACATACATTAACATTTTGTAAACAGTTTATTGATATACACAGATTCATCCTTAATTTAATTTAATTCTTAAAGAACATACATGACATTGATTTCCGAACATTTTGTGAAAGCAGAGGGAAAACAACATAGGACAGTCTAACAAAACTGTTCCATAAGAGGAATGAAATATTCACATTAATGACATGTACAAAGTGACTAATTATTTAAATTATTGTTCTGAAATAAAAGACAAGCAAATTTACATAAAGCCTATTTTTCCTAATGTTCTTCCAACATTCTTTCACCTCAGTTGCTAGCAAAGGGACTGTAAGCATCATAACTCTAATAAGTCCAACTCATCCAAGTGTTTTTCCCAACATCTTTTCACACTCATCCATTAGTGAGAAGGGAATATCAGCTAAATTACGTCAAATTTAACCCAATGCAACTGTGCAATAAGAAAATTATCTTCAGTTCCACAAACAGTTGTCGCCAACAGAGCAAAAGCTACACAAAGAATCCACACCATAACTACAGAGATCAGAGTTCTCTTCCATACCCATAAAGCGAAGGAAGAGGTATCAAGCTGGTTTAACCTCACAGCCAGTTGTGAGCCACAGTACAAGACATCCCATGCTCTAGTTTAGTAACCTCAGAATCGCTTCCAGAGTCAGATATCATTGCCATAATATTTCCACCATGCACCCTACCTTCGGAAAGAGGAAACAGATAGATGTTCTGATCATTCTGCACATTCAGGGACAAATTCCCATCACAATCACCATTTATTTTCTCTGGTTTGCTTGAGATTGGGTTCTGGGAAGTGACTGCTTCCATTGTATTCCCACCATGAACACAATGGTCTTCCACAAGGGCAGTGTGTTCAATGCAGAGGCCAATCTTCGTCCCAACCAAGCGGTCACATGGGCTATCACCAGCACCTAAATTTGACCCAGGCCGGCCCCATGTGCAACGCTTCCTTCTGCCATGTGCCTTGCAGAAATCAGTGCTCCCCTGAGCAGCCTTTCCGCAACCCTCCGACTTGCATCTCTTCCCCCCTCCATGTCGAACGCAGAAATCTGTCCGGCCTCTTGCGCTTCTAGTGCACTCGTGTATAGCACATCTCTTTCCCCCACCATGAGCAACACAGAACAGTGTACCACCATGCACACTCTTTGAGCAACCACCCAGGAATGCACAGCGCTTTCCTCCACCATGCCCCTTGCAGAAAAGTGTGCTCCCTTCAGCCCCCTTTGTGCAACCCAAGTGTGTGCACCTTTTGCCCCCACCATGAGCCTTGCACAAATTTGTGCTGCCCTGTGCACCCTTTGTACATTGAGGAAATTTGCACCGGCGACCACCCCCATGAGAGATGCAGAGGCCAGATTGACCTTCTGCGCTTTTTTTACAATTCTCTTTCTGGCACCTCTTGCCGCCACCATGCCTTATACAAAGACCAGATCTCCCCCTTGCAGCTCGAGTGCAGCCCTCGTGGCTGCAACGACGACCACCACCATGAGCAATGCAACAGCTGGTGCGGCCTTCAGCACTTTTGGTGCAACCAAGATGTTCGCAGCGTCGGCCACCTCCATGGGATTTGCAGAAGATGGTCCTGCCTTCAGCTCCCTTTTGACAACCTGATTTTTGGCACCTCCGACCTCCTCCATGAGCAATGCATAATCCAGAAGCACCACGGGCTCCTTTACCACATCCAGGAAACTGGCAGAGTTTTTTGTTGGTGGTGCATAATTGAGCGACCTTAGAAGAGGAGGTAACAGGGCTTCTCTGCATTTGTATCTTGGTTGATGAGAGATCTGGTAGCCTAACTGGACAATGGTTGTCATGAATCATTTGGCTGGAAAGACACTGGCTACCAATCTCCGTAGTAACTAAAGATGGCAATAAATTATTTCCACATTTCCAACTTGATGATGTTGATCCTTCGTCAACTGTTGCTGCCAGACAAACTGTTATTGGTTTATCCAATATATTCTGATGATGAGATGAGACTGGGTCTATGCTCGTCATAGCAGATTCAGATGGCCCCACTGACAAACTCAACTCAAGGTCAAACTTATTTTCAGTCTCCAATGCTCCTAAAGTAGCAGCAGCAGGTTTTACGGGGCTTGTTGTATTCCCATTACCAAGTTTAAGATCAACATTTAAGCCATAATCCATGAATAACTCCTCGACTGTTTGTTTTTCTGAAAAAACTGTGCAAGCAATTGTGGAGCTCTTGTTGTTACTATATGAGAAACTCAATGGATCACCTAGTCCAAGGGCAGGTAAGGACTTGCCCAGACCTCGAGTTACATCGATATCTTCTCTTTTCCTCTTTATTCCTTTGGAATTGGTAGTGCAAAGACTGTGGGAGCTTGAGGAATCAAGCCGTAAAGTGGTGTCAGTGTGATCACGATCCCCCACTTTACTGCTCCAATTATCAAATGTATCAAAACATGAAGCACTCAGAACCAAGCCCAATGACCCAATCCTGCTATCCATAATTCCTATCGTCAAATCTTGATAGAAAGGAACCAGTTGCCTGACCTCCAAGACCAATTGAGTAACCAAGATTAAAACTAAGGTTACAAATCTTCAAAGAAGTCCTTGCAACCTCCGCTAACAAAACCTGAAGTATCTCTGCGGTCCATTTCTGCAGAGTAGTTTACGTCCTTTGTAGTGACTTTTAGACTAAGCAACAAATTAAGTAGCAGAAAATGGCACAGTCAATCAAGATCACAGCAGCCACTTTTCTGTCAGAGAAACAAACTAATTAAAATATCATTTAGCGAAACTGAAGGAGACAAGATCGTATAAATTGACTTCTGAAAATAATGTATCAACAACTTTCCATATATAAACAAAGAAAAACAAAAAAGGACAACCCAATGCACGACCTCCCACCGATGCAAGGGTTTGGAAAACGTCAATGTATACAACTTTACCTTTATAGTTAGAGAGGTTATTTCTAAGACATGAACGTTGACCTTTGAGGTCACAAAGGAGCAATATTACCATTTGACCAAGGTCCAACCTTAAAGACCCTCTCGAGACAATCAAATAATAATAATAGAGTACACTCTTGATGGAGGGAAATCGTAACAATGAGGTTGGAGAACAAAAATCAAAGAAGTCGATTTAGTTCTTCGCTGTCGAGTTAATTGGTTTAAAAAAAAAAATCATATCTTCAAAGGCAAGCAAGGGAACACCTTGGATGATACCAAAAGAATGATTAGATTGCGAGTCTCACCTTAGGATCTATGCATCAAACATAACAGGCCAGAAGATTAAACATTTGCAGATATATTTGATTCACATTTTACATAAAGTGTTTCAGGGCCTCGGTGCTTTTATGCAAATAGCTCCTATTATGGGCGGGTTCAACAAGCAATAAAAAGCTTGTGTAGTCTGCACTTAGTGGGCAGAGCCCCAACATGAAACAACACTAAATAAGGTTTCGGCTGGGTTCACCAACAAGCAACCAAAAGCTCGTATAGCCTGCAGAAAGATTGACTGCAACTTGGCAGCCATGCAACAAGTCCACATACTTGCAAAGAAAGCTGTCACATTGGCACCAGGTGAGTTTTGTGCAAGCATCCACAGAACTGCCATTTGCTAGGTGCGAGCAGTTAAAGCTCCTCTCTAACTCTAAAAAGGAGGAGAATTTACCTCCACCTCAGAAGAAAAGGAAAGTAAAATGTTCTTTTTCTGTGTCATGGATGAGTAGCACTACACAAGGAGTGAAACTACTCAAATTAACAAGAGGATTCGATTAAGAGAGAAAGGAAACATTTTGATCACCGAGAAGCTCCAAAAGCATAGGTTGTGTCGCACCTCTGGGGCAATAAAAAACTTCCAGGACTTACTGCACCGAATAATAAGAACATGACTCAAATAAGGAACAAGCTACAATTCCTCTTCAGAAAAGATAAAACACAGGGAAAACCAGATTCCCAAAACATGATCCCGGGATAACCGATAGAAATACTTCCATCCACAAGGAAGTCAATTAACATCATCAACAAGTAGCCAGAAAAGCACTGGCAGAACCACAGCCAATAACAAAGATCTATGCAATTGAGAAGTTGCTTGAGGAAGCTAAACTAACCTCAGTTACTTTTGGGACTTCGCGAGGGTAGGCCAGTTCCCAACAACAGCATGCTAGGATACAGAGCTGCTGATGATAAAGGGTTTTGTTCGCTATAGATAAGAATAAAACAGTAAGAACCAAGAAAGGCATAATATGAAAGCAAAGAAATAGCCAGATCAACAGAATCTTGCTACATGTATGTATCATATTCTATAAATCCCATCTATAAGATCGCTAAGTAGCAATTCATGACCTTTCCTTATATTTACCATGTAATTTATGGACCAGTATTTATGAAAATCCCTAACCAAATTAAAGATAACAGCTTTTTCACCAAACAAAACTGAGACAGCTATTTCTTTTTATAGGGAAATATCTACCAGACCTCTTGAAGAAAAATTTTCCAGATTCCATCCTCGAAACACGAACGAGGGAAAAAGAGTGGTGAAAACAGAGAAAGCTAGGAAACAAGGAGAGCTGTATGAATATGCCTGCATGTAAGAGTCTTTACCAAATCTCACTGGTCCGATGCGACCTAAATGGCAAGCCACAACCCCTTCTCTTGGGGCCATGAAATACTGCTCAAAACTCCACTCCTAAACCAAAGACAATGGCTTCTGGCCCGAATAAAAGAAGAAACGGACAAAGTTTTATATTAACAAAGAGACAAGTTCATCTACCACAACCTATTGATAACTTCACAAAACGAGTTTTTTTTCTTCTTGCATGACGACACGAGATGAAATGGAAAGAGTCCCAAAAGGAGTTCCTTTCTTTTTTTTATGAGAGAGGATACCAGAAAGGTCGATTCTAATTGACCGAAGAGAGAATACAAGATCGAAATTTTCGACCCCAAAAACACACGATTCAGCACGAAATTCACATTCCAGCACTCCGAACCAAGTGAGGAAGATCAAGAACGAACAGACCGGAGCATAAACACTCGGAATCCCACTGGGAAAGAGTGACTACCCAATCAAGCGAAAACAAGGCAGAGAGGATGTACCTCATCTCGAACGACCGTAGATCGAGAAGAACAAGGAACCGGGGAACCTAATCCGCAGCGCCTGCAACGCGAACCGAGGAGAGGAACCGAAAGCCAATGCAGGAGGAAGAGAAATGACCGGGAGATGTCTCAGAGGCTGCTGAGCAAAAGGCGAGCGCTGATTCGCGGACCGATTTCACCTACGACTTAGCGGACGACACAGTGACGTGGCGAACACTTCGACGGTTCTTTTGTGGATGTGCGCCCACAACCGCATGTCGTAAGGGACGACGTAACCTAAGTCGGTTCGTTAAGCATCGCCAATAAATATCGAGGGCTCGCGCACGTTAAGGGGCAACGGCGCAGGATAAGTCGGCGGCGGGTCCCCCCGCGACAGTGACGGGGACGGTCGGCGGAAGCGAGGGCACGTCATCCTCGGCGCTCCACCCCGCGCGGGAACCCGCCGCGGCGGGGCCCGGGGCCACGAGGGTGTAGGCTCCTCTCCAACCACGACGCCACCTCTCATCTGATCCGACGGATGTCATGTATCACTGATTCGGGCTCCACATATATAAGCGCATTCGACGGTCGAGATCTAAGAGTCATCGCCGACAAGTGATATGCTGTTGTAGGGGATCCCGCCTCAACCAGAAACGGTTGCCCGCAGCAGCGTAGTATCTCGTGGGTCTCTTTCCACGATTGGGTGGGTTGGGTGGGATCCGCGGGCCCATTTACGAATCAGGTCCAGCCATATCTAGTGATAAATGTACATGATTTGAGAAGCATAAAGAATATATATATGCATATTCATGCATGTCATTTGAAATAAATGTTTCCTAATAAAGAAAAGCTAGCTAGGTATTGCTTGTGAGGTTAAACTAAAACATCAGATCACAGCAAACATAAGCTATCATAATAGCTTAATGGCTCTTTCTGTTGACAAGATGTGAATGTTGACAAGATGTGAATGTTGACCACATAGTTTGAGAAATGGCCTATGCTGCTTGGTTGAATGAATACTGCTCAGCCACATCATTTTCTGTTCTTGGAAGTTTCTTCCCACAGACAAAGAGGTGGATTAATTATAGCACTAAATCCAAAAGTGCCGAAGCAACATGCAAATACAAGGTGCTGTTCTGATCCTGTTTGGAACTCAGTGGTTATGACACGAGGATCTCTGGCCCCCTCCCTAGAAAGAGAAGAGTGGGTCTATGAGCTTGCTGCATCGGAAACATGAAGAGAAACAGTGGGCAGTGATGTTTACTGAGGTTGATTTCAGAGAAAGTTTTCTCTATTGTGGCTTCCTTTGTATGATATGGAAAAAGTATCCGACCTTGCAAAGATATGGCCTGCCGACCTCATCACCATGGCATCTCAAGTCATGTGCTCCAGAGCTGACACATTGCAGATGGCCATTGTTGGCCTCATCTCTCTCTAGTGGAAGTTCAAGATGAGAGGATCACAGAGGGAAAATAATTGCAGATCTAGTATCTGGCATCTTCTACATCGACTTTCAATGTGGTGAAAAAAGGATATCTTTTTTGTGTGCGACTCTCCTGCACTTCCATCTTCCTCCCTGATCACTTTGTGTGCGACTTTCCAACGATCTAAACTATGACTTCAGTAGCAAGGACATGCCAGTGGAGCTTTCACATGGCAGATGTGCAAAAAGACACATGCTTTGCAAAAGAAATGTGAAATCTAGCCACCTAAGAGCATGATCTTTTCACCCTTTCACTTTGGTGGAAAGGGATACACTTTTGTGTGTGTGTGTGTGTGTGCATATGTGCTCTCTAATCTGTGTGTGACCTTCCATTTCTTCTAAGGGATGACTTTAGCAGTAGGGAACATGCCAAAGTGGAGCTCCCACAATATAATAGCACAGAAAGATGGATGCTTTACAAAAGATTCACATGTGTAATGTAGCCACCCAAGACCATGATCCTTTGCTTCTATTCTTGTTTTGAAAGATAGTAAAGACCTACTGTGAGATTTGTCTGATACCATGTCACTGCTCTTTATGAACACTACACAAGTCTCCAACAGGAGAATTTACTAGGAGCATCTCAGAAACACCACAAAGATCATGTTACTTCTTCTCTCCATTCTATGTAGTTAAATCACATGAGTTGTATGTGTTTTGATTTTTCTCCCAGAATGGAAGACACATGGAATCTGGTCATGGATTTGGAGATCAGGCTTGGGTTTTAGACTGTGGCATGTTGTCTTGGTACGATTCTTGAAACTTAAACTAGTGGACTCAACATCTGGATTTGTTTAATCTCCATCTTACCTTGCGACGAATTTTCGTAGTTCAAGATCAGGCACACTGCAACATCATCACCATCAGATTGTGACAAGAGAAAAATAATAGTCAACAATTGATAAAATAGTGTCAATGCCAACCTGTGGCAATTGTTTACAATCATACTAGTAGGTTTTTGTTGGAATGATGACAAAATTGAAAGCAGCAGAAAGTAAATATTTTGTGTGATTCAGATAAGCTGTATTTTTAGGTGTAGGTTGCAAGGAAATGATAAAAATATAATAGTAATTATAAAGAATCATTTCGCTCAAAAAAAAAAAATTGTAGTATTTAAATAAGAGGTAAGATAAAAATACTTACAAGATATTCCCAAGTACATACTCCTTATCTTCCTTCATAAACTATGATCTTATTTATAAGGCATAATGGTAACTACTTCATTCCACCATGTCACCCATGATTGAGTTAGGTGTATGAACTACCCTATAACTTTTAGATCATAGGTCACTTCTTAAAACATACCTATAACTACCTAGAACATGGTAACTACTATGAATCAATTCTCAACACTCCTCCTTGATTCATAGTTGCATACACCGATTTACGACATGAAATAAATATGCTTTTGAACGGGAAGTAACTTGGTGATGATATATGCAACTTATTCATTTGTTTCATAATAGACTCCACTTACTATAAGATCTTGGATGAAATGATAACGTATTTCTATATGCTTCATTCTTCCATGAAATATTGGATTCTTCGTCATTGCAATTGTGGCTTTGTTGTCACAAAATATTTTCATTACTTCTTTTTGTTCTTGATGAAGATCTTCAAGAAGTCTTCTAAACCATATTGTTTGACAAGCTGTTGATGTTGCGGCTACATATTTTGCTTCTAATGTCGATAATGCAATTGTTGCTTACTTTTTTAAACTCTAAGATATAGCTCCTGATCCGAGGCTAAAAATATTGCTTGAAGTACTCTTTATATCATCTAAAGCTCCTGCCCAATCACTATTAGTAAAACCAAATAATTTACATTTAAAATTATGAGAATACTAAATACTATAATCTGTAGTTCCAATAATATAACGCAGAATTCTTTTAACAGTTCCGAGATAATGTTTGCTTGGGTTATGCATAAACCTAGATACTACATCAATAGAAAATATAATATCTAGTCGAGTATGAGTTAGATAAATTAAACCTTCAACCAAACTTTTGTAATATCTTGCATTTGCCATGCACCATCTTCAGGTTTCAATTTCTCATTTACATTTATCGGTGTTGCTCGAGCTTTGCAATTAATAATATTAGATTTTTTTTATAGATCTATTGTATACTTTCTTTATGAAATAAAAATTTCATCTGATCCTTACTTCACTTCCAACCCAAGAAAATAGTATAGTAGGCCTAGATCTGACATTTCAAACTTATTCATCATGTATTTTTTAAATTCTGCTACAAAAGAATTAGATGAATCCATATATATATTATTATTAACATAAAGGTAAACCATTAGAATATTATATTCGTATTCCTTCTTTAGATAAAGAGTATGTTCATTATTGCTTCTCTTAAATTCATTTTGATAAAAATAATAATCAATTTTATTGTACTATACCCTTGGAGCTTTTAAGCCTATAAAGAGTTTTTTTAACTTATACACATTTTTTACATGCTCTTTAACCAAGAAACCTTCAGGTTGAGTAACAAAAATCTCTTCGTGTAAATCTTCATTTAAAAATATAAATTTTATATCAAACTGATAAATAGGCCAACTTAAGTGAGCAGCTAAAGTTAATAAAGTTCTCATGGTTTTGAATCTAGCAACTGGAGAAAAAGTATCATCAAAATCAATAACTTGTTGTTGTGAATATCCTTTTGCTACAAGTCGAGCCTTATATTTTTGGATACTTCTATTTACATTAAACTTTATTTTGAATACCCATTTTAATCCAATAGCTTTATTTTCTTTCAGTAGATCTATTGGCTCCTAAGTTTCATTCTTCTCAAATGATTTGATTTTCTCCTTCATTGCTTTTCATTATTCCTCTTTTTCAACTACTTCCTAAGTTATAAGATTTGAAATAAATAAAGCAAATATTGAATCATAAATTTCTGTTAGTGATTTAAATTTTCCTGAAGGGGTTTCATCTAAGGAATCAGAACTTGAACTACTACTATGTGAGGTTAACGATAAACTTATTGGAGCAGGATGTGTCACTTGATTCTGTAGAGTGTCTAGTTCTGTTAGAATCTGAATTTGTGTTCCATCTTCATTGATCTCCAAATTCTAATTTGCCCTTTCATTAAACATAATATTATTATTAATAATAACTTTACCACTAACAAGATTATACAATCTGTTAGTGTAAACACCTTTTTCTTAGCCGTGACCCGCGGGGTCGTCGCGGCTTGGTTCGGGGGTCCGAATGGCGGAGATCTCGGGCGGCGTCCCTCGGGGTCTCCCGGTGTCCGAGCACGGTGGTTCGGGTCGGGAGGTCGGTTCGGCAGGTCGGGTCGGTGGTTCGGGTCGGCGGTTCGGGTCGGGAGGCAGCTCCGCCGCAGCTTCAGGAAGAGGCGACACCGTCTCGCACCTGCACACAGGTCGGGCCGGGAGCTCGGCCCGACCCCTCCGACGATCAAGTTAGAGGAAGACGCGGAGGGGGTTGTGGATGAGGCAGAAGAAGAGCCTCTGAGTGTTTTGTCTGAGTGCGTTTTTCCCCCATCGACCTCTTGCTCGGGGATGTTTATAGGGGAACTTGGCATTACCGAGCGCGCCATCACATCGGTCAGGTTCGTATCTCTGATGGCGTCCGACATGGCCGAGGATGTTGCGTGGGAGACCGGGGGGTCGCAGGGTATGGGCGAGCTTCAACCGTTACCTGCTTCTGTCTCGTCCGACTGTGCTGGGTCAACCGAGGGGGCTGTGGGCCCGTCAATCAATAACCTGAACCCATGCTTGCAGACGAAAGC